ATTATAAATATATGATCAAAGTATAGAACTATACTAAAACTATTTTTATAGCTTGAAGCTAGAAGTAAAAGAAATATGCTCAATTTCGAAAATCAGTCTCTGTATAATTTCTATATTAAATTATAATAAATATTAAAATTCATGGCTACATTAAATTCAATTGAATTTTATTATAAATATATGATCAAAGTATAGAACTATACTAAAACTATTTTTATAGCTTGAAGCTAGAAGTAAAAGAAATATGCTCAATTTCGAAAATCAGTCTCTGTATAATTTCTTGATTAACTAAGCCCAAATATGTTTATCTTTAGCGAATCGTTTCGATGGATTCTGCTGCGCTTGAGTTGTATTCATTTGACTCGAGGTGTCAGCTATGATATCAAGTTGTTTATTCAATAAACTGTTATTAATCTTAATTAGTTTGTAATCAGTTGATTCGCTTATATTTCTAGACATGGCAATCGCAAAGTTGTATATTAAGTTATTAAGTGATCTCACAACCACTCGAGAGCAGAGTTCAAAGAGCAACAATTGAGAGTGAGTGACCGACTCTAGAGCAACGAATACTCAAGAGATCAGGGATCTTGTCTTTACGAAAAACTACCCCACACTGATTTTCACAGAAGCAGCGCCGCCGAGAGTCTCGGGCATAAKTGAGTGAGTGTACAAACAGAATGATCCTAAAAATTGAACAGCCCATAAACAGCACCGACATGTGAAACAACATGTGTGCGCAGCTCTCTCCAAAATGTGAGAGGGGGAGAAGGGAGAGAGTCTCCTGATCGATGCTGTTGCTGTTGCCGATGGGCACTTGCAATCCAACCGCATGCAGGGTCTCGAAAATAGCGCCAATGTCGTCGACGCCAACGCTGCTGCCAAATGAAGCGATCTCTATGCGCTGCCAGAAAGGATATATGTACATGATTATAGAGTTTGTATTAGATATGCCCTAAGCTGACTGCATTCATGAAACAGTCAGAACAAATTTAAATAGTGTAAGAATGCTTGAGCTACTTTTAGTTATATTTTCTGATAGTGTATTCAACATTCGGCTTGCTTAACGAATTTTCTCGCTGTGTGCGAGGCGTTGAGCTGTAAGGGAGCTGCTAAGTCCGGGTGCCACAATCATTATATATGTACATTCACTATCGAATACATACAGCTATATGTAAATATGTACATGTATATATATATGTATATGTGCTTACACATATTTATATATGTATATTTTGTGGTTTGTTCAATCGCAGTGGTTGCCTTTTTGGCGGGGGGTGCTTTTGTGGCCGTATACTGCATGTTTGTATTTAGAAAAAAATGAAGGAAAAATGTTGTGGAAATTTTCATTTGTTTCTACAGTTACGAAATTTATATTTAATTTTGTATTTATGTAGCTGCTTTGCGTTTGTACGCAATAAATTTCCGAAACTCAAACCAAAATGTGGGTCGTTGGCACTTGCATTCGTTTCGCTTCGTTTTGAATCACTTTGAATCATCAAGCAAATTTATGCTTTTTTATTTATATTTAGTTTGAAAAATTATGACAATTTCATAAAGTATAGAAATAAATCGTAAGGCCATACATAGTTGCAAAAATGCTCAGACTTTTCTAAAAAATTGAGCATAGAATTAAAAGGAAATTGAAAACAAGAATTTTACAATGTATATATAAACAAAATAAATCAAGAAATATAACTAAAATAACTAAAATTCATTTTTTTCTAAAAAAAGAA